TTTTTTGCTAGATTTTGAGTTTAAGAACAATAATTTATTAAATTTAAATCAATTTCTTAAAAATATAATTTTGAGATAGTAATTTGTTTGAACTTTTTTTTTTTAGTGACGATTTATTCCAAGCAAAAATATGGGGGGTTATTTGTACATTTGCCTATATTTTGCCCTCACTAAATTTTACTCTTAATATAACTGTCTCCAATAAAGAAGAAATTTTGAATTTAGTCCTTATATATATATGACATTTTTAATATATATATATATATACACACACACAAAAGTGAGTATTAATTTGTATTACAAAAAAATTAGACAGAACCTTTTTAATTAAAATGGTGTTGTTTTGCCATCAATCTGCTTCCTTCCTTCGCCCTCGTTTTCGTGATTGGCTTAATTCAATATCCCTAACTTGTGCCGATTTCTCTTCCTCTGTTCCTCATCTTGTAAGGGTAGGTCCAAGGTGCCCAATCTTGGACATACGACAATAATTCTTGTATAACTGAAGTGAATGATAAATTCAAAACTTCTCGCTCAAACAGCTACATGACAGTGACAATAAACATGTCCGCACCTAATTCCTCATGATAAACAACACAGCAGTTATGATGGACATTCTCGAATCTGAATATCTCTCAATTTTTTAATCTCGAAATAACCATTTAGAGAGATACGTCAGATTCCGATTATCTTGCTTGGCATGTCACGTGAGTTCCTCACTGAAACCTATAAATTCCTCTCATGGGCCACGTCAAAAAGGTAATTGAAACCAACCCTAAGCTCCTATTATCTCCGCTCTAAAGGTAGCCCCGATTATTGCTGACTTAAGTATCAGAGTGTCTACCCCGAGTTCCACCTCGAGACTTTGCAGGTTAATCCGGAGTGCAGACGCGGACTGAAAAAGGGCTTCTGATTTGGTGTAATTACACATCTATAAGGTCCTTTTTCACTTAGCATAGGAATCAGCTGATATTTAATCTTATAAAGGGCCTTCATCGGAATAAAGAAGGAAAAAACAATGATCACAAGAATAATAACGGCTGTCATGTACCGATTTATCATTTAAAATCACCATTTTAGCTTTATAACTTTTGCAAATATCACATTTCAGGACAAAAAGGGTTTTAATTGAATCCTTAAATTTGGACTAATTTCTTGAAAATATAATTTTGAGGTGACAATTTGCTTGAACTATTCTTTTTTGTGATTATTTGCGTCAATGCAAAAATATTGAGGGATAATTTGTACATTTAACCTATATTTTGCCCCTCGCTAAATTTTAGTTTTAAAATAACCGTCTCCAATAAAAAGAAATTTTGAATTTAGTCCTTATATGTATATGACTTTTTCCAAAGAATCTATATATATATATGTGTGTGTGTGTGCAAAAGAAGAAAATCTTGGATCAACCTGATGCTAAAGAAATATTCAATGACTTTGGTAGATATTTTTAGCTGGATTCTCACCTAGAAACTTAGGGTATCTTTATGATTAATATGAGGTACTGTAATTGGCTATATGTAAGAGGAACAATATACCTTATTTGGTCAGAGCTGCATGGAGAAGTTGAAAAATTAATATATATATATATATATATATATATGATATATGAAAGTGGGATGAACATGTAGTGCTTTAACAGAGATTATGATACCATGAGAATTAAGAGAATCTAGTTCCAAAGACCTTAGCAAAGGATAATTACATAATCTAAATAAAATGGACATTTAAAATAAGATGAGACTTTGTTTATAATTAGGCTGCTTTCAGCTTTTGCAAAGAATATGGCAGCAAATTATAGCAGTTCATATATAGTTTAACTGGGAAGTGATGTATGCTAATAATAAAGGACTTTGAGGTGTCGATTTCCTCATAAATCACATATGTTTATTTGTACGTATCAGATTAAGTTGAGATCTTTGAATTAATTGAAAAAATAGAAAATTTATTCCAAAATTAAGGAATCTCCAGGCAATTATTTACATCATATGTGGGTAGTGTTTAAAGGAGGGGAAAAAAAAAGAATTAAATAAAATTAGAGTTGAGTGAAGGAACTGAATAAGAGAAAGAGGAAAAGATGATGAGAGCAATTAAGAGAATCCAGTTTTTAAATTTTCTAATTTAGACAAAATGATAAATAGGATAGCACTTAGCTAATTAATTACTTGCAACTTTTATAAAGAATGAGACACCAACGATTATCAAAAAGGCCAGCAGAGATTGTACTAATTTTCAAAGTACTAAATAATCCGGTGCTTTATCCCTTTTCAGAATTAATTTTTATGCTCTAATTAAAGCATTCATGATGAAACAAAAAAAGAAAAAAAAGATTTTTCAAATAATATCTTGCAATTCTACATAGCAATTTTAAGGTAGTGAGATACATAAATTAGTATACATTCGTAAATTAGTATACATTCACTTCAGTTAATTAATATCATATGAATATTATGAAATTTTATTTTCAGATAACATCTTAGATGTAGTTAATTCTGAAAATTAATAGAATAAAGAAGAAAGTATCCTTTGCTGGGTTCGATCCCCTCCCCACCCCCCGAACCACATGTCCTAATAAAAGAAAAAAAAAAAGAAAGAAAGTGTCCTTTGCCAAGAGAATTGTCCGATGGGAATCTAGTCACCTTCGCCGGGTAAGGAATAGACAAAAGGCATGTGCGAGTAAAGACAGTAAGATATTGAGACATGGCTTAAGTTTTCAGGTTGAATAGTTCTTGATATGATTATTTTATGTCATATTCCTCTGATGATTGAAGCAACAAAACAATTTTTAATTTAGAGAAATTTAATGTTTCTAAAGAGTTTTTTAAGTTTAATTTAAAGAATATTTCGATAAAGAGAACATGAACTATTTATTCCAATATGGAAGCATTCCCTACTAACTGGTATTCTTTAATCCTCTTTTGCCATTTGAGTTTGTGCTTTGATGATTAAAGATGGGACTTCTGTTTCATGGATGGTCCCCTCAATACTTTTCATCAAAATTATTCTTCCAAGTATTGTCCAAATTTTAATAAGTGTACAAATCTCACACTGGAAACAACGAAAGCTCTCTAATTAAACTGGATTAAGAAGCAAAATTGTACAAGTTTATTATTAATTAGGTACATCATGATTCATAATCAGACTCAAATTTCACACCTTGATTTTGCAGTAAATTCAGTGGTCTTGGTTTAAGAGCTCTCTTTAGTCATCTGATGAAAGAGTACTAGTAGTGGAAGACTAATATAGTACAGTTCAGAAAATCAGAAGTACTCAAAAGAAATTTAACAGGAGGGAGTGGGGGTGACTAGATTGTGGAAATTAGCTTTGGTGGTTGTTGCGCAGGAAGCACCAAAAGTGCCATGGACATCATCCCAATTCCATAGGCCATCCCACATGATTTCCTCATTGCAGGCTTGATCAGCAGGGTTGAAGGTCATAGTATTGCCATTGATCATCATCATGGAGTAGAAAAAGCCCTGTTCTTGTTCAGATGTAGCATTACTGATATATGCAGATGTCATTTCCTGCGTCGTCTGGGGCACATATGCTGCTGCTTTCTGCTCGTTTTCCTCGAGCAGGGACATGATCTTTTTAATGTCCAACTGATTCAGTTGTTGTTGCTGCTGCTGCTGCTGCAATTGTTCTTGCTGTTGTTGCTGCTGTTGTTGCTGAAATTGTTGCTTCTTAAGAAGACGAGCTTTCGCCTTCTCAGAGTTATCAGGGGCTAACTTTGCCTTTTTCTTGAAATGGGTCCTCCAGTAGTTCTTGATCTCATTGTCAGTTCTTCCCGGTAAGCTTCGGGCAATTGTAGACCACCTGAAGGATTTCTAGTTAGCTTCCTTGGTGATCAAGCTAATGCTATGTTAGGTTCAAGAGGAACTTAATTTAATTTACCTGTTACCCCATCTAGCATGTAGCTCTAGGATTATGCTCTCCTCATGTGGGGTTATTTGTCCCCTCTTAAGGTCTGGCCTTAGATAATTCACCCATCTCAATCTGCAGCTTTTCCCATTCCTTTTCAACCCTGAATAGCACACCCAACAAACATAAATTAATTTCTAAACCCAATTAAAGTGACAATGAACCCTTTTACAGTACCAAAAAAACAAGTACAGATTAACAAAACTCAGTTGAAATTTTGTTTCTTACCTGCAAGCCTAGCAACAGAGTTCCATCTTCCTTCTCCATGTAGCCTAACATAATCAATGAGCAGCTTATCTTCTTCAGCAGTCCAAGGACCTTTCCTCCAGCCCTCTCCAAGGGCACCCCAACCCCCAAAATGCCCAGCCATAACTTCCCAGGAGGACATGTCAAAAAAAAGGGGGAAGAAAAAAAGTGTTACAAACTTTGGTATTTGCTAAGGTAAAGTGTTTTGCTGTGTCTAACAAACGTTGGCAACCTGGGTTAGTGTGTTTCCCTATTTATATAAGCACACCAAGGACTTCCCCTAGGCATTTCGTCAATCACCTTACTGTACCTTTCAAACTCATCCCTATCCCATTTGTAAAATGACCCATTTGCCCTTACTTTCTATTCCCATCCTCAAAGCCAAAATGTGGATAGAATTGAGGGCATCAAGGTCATAAGACAATGATAGAATTAGCACAGGAGATTTGGAATGTCAAGGCATTGGGTAACATGTCCTGGCAACGGATCTTATTCCGTATTGACAATATTTTTTTGATGCCAAAGCAAGGATAAAGAGGAAAAAAGCAAGGCCACGTGTTAAATTAAGGTTTCATAAACTCTAATTAAATAAAAAAAATTTTGAGAATAATTTTTTTATTATATTTATATATATTTATATATATTATTTAAATGATTAAATTTTTTTATTTATTTAAAATATATAATATTAAATATATTTATTCATTTATTGATATGTAAAAATTATATAAAAATAATAAAAAAATTATCCCTATATCACTAGAAAAAGAAAAGAAAAGAAAAGGATATGATCTAAGACGTAGGGGGACTAAAAAAAAATGTTAAAAATGTGGGTGGTGGAAATTTTTAAGATGAAAATCACTAGGGTTCCAATAAAAATTTACCAGGTGTTTGATATGCTTCCTTGTTAAGGAGATTGATCTATGTCATCTCCATTAAATCTTTTATATAAAAATGGGTGGATTCCATATTGGGGTATTGGGAGGCATAAAGTATTCTAGCCTTTGATGGTTTGTGCACGTCACCATGGAACAGGTGGCATTTTTTGGATTTTGTTGATTTGGAAAGGGAGAGAGTTTGATTGTTGAAGTTTGTAGATGCATATAATTTCTATGCTATTGGTCCTTTTTTTTCTTTTTTTGTGGTTGAAAATAGGCAATGGTATGCTATTGGTCTTGAATGAATGGGGAGGAAGGAGATGGTGATGTCCTTTGTGGATTTTGGGAGAGAGGGTGTGAAAAACGTTGAGGGAAAAGGTACACCATCAATTGGAGTTTGGTAGAAGATTGGAGTTAAGTTTTTCAATTTAAAGAAGTGTCCATAAAGTTTTGACAAGATAGTAAAGTCATGATTATCAAATTCTAAAATTTTAG